TAAGCTCCAGCCAATTGCCACTCAAGTTCCTACATCTGGGAATTTGCCGAATCTAGCTTGACATACTATAGCCACTACTTCAGTATGAAAGATTGATTCAATAACAAGGTCAAATGTAATAAGTAGATCCTGACCAATAAAAATATCAATTCGCAGTACCATTGAACGACATGCCTCATGGGGCTGTGCCAGCAAGGAAAACAAAAAAACAAAAACCCTAATCAACATGCTACTAGCAATGGGCGAATGAAGTGCGCTATGAAACCATACGTAAAACCCAGAAGTCGCATGTATATACGAAGTAATCTCTTGGCGTCACCTGGTTCTTTGATATTCACAGCTCACCGGGCCATCGAGCATTAGGGAATTTATTTGGCCTTGGCCAGACCGACGGCATTGTTACCGACATCATAAACACTGTACCAGCGGCGCAGGAAGGCATCACCCAAGATAGCCAGGGGACCCACGGGCTCGGGGAAGTCCATTCCCATGAAGCTGCTGATGCATGAGCCCTGGACCTCCAGGACGTAGTCGTAGGGGCCAATAGTGAACTTGTGGCCGCCAAGGGTGAAGGTAAGGTCGGGCAGCGAGTCGCGCTTGTCGCACTCGACACTGTACTGACCAGTGAAGCCCTTGGTGGCACCGATCTCCTTGTTCCTGTGGAATGAGTCAGCGAGTAGGTTACCAAAACAAGCGAAAAATCAACTTACAGAAGCTCAGCCATGGTGGAGGGCAGGGCAATAAGGGAGGTACCAGTGTCCAGAATGACACCGGTGTTCTCAAGTTCAGCAACGTTGTTGCCGAGGGCAATAGAGTTGAGCTCAACCTCCCAGTACGCCTTGCGACGGAGAGGGATCTTGATCAGCTCACCAGTGTAGTGGCTCTCGTCGATACCACCGAAAGTAGCCTCGGAGTTGTCACCCTCCTTGTTGGCATCGCCGAGGTAGAAAGCAAAGACGGGCTCATCGACGAGCTTCTGGTTGATCATGTGATAGAATGGAGGAACCATCTTGTTCACGGAAATGGTATCATAGCCGAGGCCGAGAATACCATCAAAGCGACCGAAGGCAAAAGCCAGACCAGGTTCGTTGGTAGCTTCCGCGAAGTCCTGGCCCTCGATCTTCAAGTCACCAATCTGGAGTGTGTCCTTAGACACGAAGCCGCTCAGGCTGCCAGATCCATAGCGAATCTCGAACTCGGTGCCGTTCTTCTCATAGGTGCTCGAAGAAGACGAGTCATACTTGGTGTGAAGGAAGCAGGCGATAGAGCTGCACTGCGAAGAGGGGACCCACAGGTTGGAGCTACCAGTGTCAAGGACAACCTTGAAGGTCTGGGGTGGGGTACCGATTGAGATCTCGGAGAAGTCTGGAAAGGTCAGTCATCATCCCTCATAACATTAAATTTTTCTAGGGTGTTCTCGTACACTGAGCGTTCAGAAAGTTATCAACCAGGACGTCATGGCCACTGGCAGGATTGAAGCCAGTGTCGTGGAACAGGTCCTGGTGCTTCTCAGGACGAATTCCCATGTACTTCTGGCCCAGGTTGTGCACATGAGCATCGATGTTGTGTGTGTTCTATTAATCGATCAGCTCTGGGGTATTCTTATGGAACATCGATGATCATACCAGTTGCTCGGCCAGAGGGACCTTGTTGAGCTTAAGCTTGTGAACCTCAGCGGCAGCACTGCCCAACAGCGCCGAAGCTGTTAGGAGAGTGAGTGACTTCATCATTTAAGATGAAAAAAAGAAAATTGTAGATGTTTGGTGCAAATAAGAGAATGACTTGGATGTAAGAGAGGAGAGAGGAGATAAGGGCAGATGGGGAGGAGTGGAGGCTGGAGAGACGATGACGGAACCGGGAGGGTCACACTAACCCCCTTTGAGCGATGGGCCTCATGACATGGATTCTCAGGCACCAGCCCCGGGGGGAATTCCACTACCCATACAAGGAATATTGCGTGTTTCTCAGGCCATTTACTCACTAGATCACTATGGCTTCTCCATACTATACTCCGTGCAAGATCGGACGGGAGCAGGGGAAGCGCTTTGGCCTGGTGCCTGGGCGTGGTTAGCGCCATTGACGGAATGGTCGGACTGGTTGGAAAACACCCCTCCCGTGTACCTGGCAGCTCCAGGATTATTCATGTGGCAAAAGGCTACGCTCACGTTATTCTTCTACAAAAAAGTACCCTGCTGTAGTACGCCATAGAGTCTTATATGTTTATGGAGTATCATTGTACACTTCAAAGCATGTGTGTCTGTAGTCCATCGAGCCCGGCGACCGAAACTGTTCAGAAATTACTCCACTTGATTGATATCTTCCAAGGGAGCGCGTGCCCTTCACAATACTCAAAGATGCCTTACTGCGAAATTCACTAGATGAGTAAGTACCACGCTGCACACATTGTAGTCTAGAATGATCCTTGATGTGCTTGGCTTAACCCAAAGGGGTGTTGGATGTTAGAGACTCTCGATTGCCGCGCTCATCTAGGCATATTGAGGTAATAGGAAGAATGACAAAAGAGGAATATAATAATCTTCTCATGGAGTACTTCGTGTACTTCTTGGGGTCGATAGTGCCACCATCGGTGACCGACATGCATACCTATATCGGCGTACAATCCTCGATGCACGTACGCAGGGGTCGGAGAACATGATGATGATGATGAGCTCTGTTACTCTGGCGTGCACTCGTGTCTCGGCACTCGCTATTTTTATCGACCTCCACGTGCGAGTATCGGCTACAATCTATAACCAGCAACGGCGAAACGGGCTCAACTTATAGATACTTAGTGGCTTTTTCTCACTATGGTCTGCAATGATAGCAAATGGACCGACTGGTGCTACTTATGCGAGTTAAGCCTCCAATTTAATTGATTCTGGGCGGCCTTTTTTATTACGTGATATATATAAGTGAAAAGTTATAAATGATTTATCTCATTCATCCTAGTAATAGTAGGAGACTTTATGATCTACTGTGCTCTTTATAAATTCTTGTGACTGCAGGTAGATATATATCGTGATGTCTAGGTCACTCGCATCAAAGACCGACACTATATAGTATCATTGAAACCACATCGATGATTCCATAGAAGAATAGCAGGAAAACATATATGAATGGATTTGTAAGAATGCCGATTCGACACATGTATTCGAGCAAGTGGTCTATGGGCAGGGTGCTGCCAGCCAACCTACAATCTACATCTACAATCAAAAAGATCGAATGGAAAATATATGATCAAATCATCCGAACATTGTGACACATGGCGCCTGCATATTATTGATAATACAACTAGTGAGGGAGACCAAGCTTTTGCCACTCATACCCACTTTCCCGAGAGACTCAAACATTTACCGGTAGAAGTCAGGACTGCAAGAATCCAGTTAGTGATATAGAAAACCTTAAAAAGTAAATAAGAAACGTACCGGTCATCATCCTGTCCAGTCTTGACCTGGACGGCATAAGCATCTTCAAGGTCGGATTGGATAATATTGTAACGGTTCTTGCGGACGGCCCGCAGACCGGCCTCTTGCATGATAGCAGCAATGACAGCACCAGACAACGGGTCGTTGCGCACGATCAGGGCGTCGAGGTCGACCTCGGGGGAAAGTGACATCCGTGCTGCAATGGTTGTGAAGATCAATCGGCGCTCACGACGATCACGAAGGTTCGGGAACTCGATCTTTCGGTCCAGACGACCAGGACGCAGCAAAGCCGGGTCCAGGGTGTCGGCTCGGTTGGTGGCCATGATGACCTTGACGTTGCTGGTTTGTTCGAAACCGTCCATCTGGTTCAGCAACTCCAGCAGAATACGCTGAACTTCACGATCGGCACCAGTCTGGGCATCGAAACGCTTCGTGGCAATGGCATCGATTTCGTCAATGAAGATAATGGCCGGGGAGTTCTCACGAGCCATGCGGAACACGTCACGGACCATACGAGGTCCCTCTCCTAGATACTTCTGTACAAACTCTGATCCGTTGACACGAATGAAGCTGGCGGTTGTGCTGTTGGCCACGGCTTTCACCAGCATGGTCTTTCCGGTTCCGGGGGGGCCATAGAGCAAGACACCACGGGGAGGGTCAATACCTGCAAGTTGTCAGCGGTGCAATTAGCCGCAATGGAAATCCATAACTACCCACCGATTTGCTTGTAGAGTTCGAAATGTGTCAAAGGGAGTTCGACGGCCTCCCGAATCTCCTGTTTCTGCATATCCAAACCACCGACATCTGCGTACGTCACATCGGGCTTCTCGTTCTCACCCAGCATCGCAATAGAGGAGTCAGCCTCGGGAGGAAGGATATCGACAAGGGCATTGGAGTGGCGGTGAAGGGCGACCGAGGATGAGGGCTTCAGCTTCTCGCGGTCGAGAGTGGAGAGGATACGGACGACGTAATTAGAACCGGTCGAGCTTTGCACAATGCCGGTGCTAGAGATACGAGTTAGCAGAAAGATCATATAGAGTTCAGATAAGGAACTGCATACTTTTGATCGATTGCCTCCATAAACTGTCCGATGACCAATGGCACACTCTGTATGCGCTTGATCTCTTCTTGTGCCCGAACCAGCTCCCGCTTCAAGCTCCTGTATTGAACGACGATAGTTAGGCACTGATGCAAATCGTCATTGATAGGATCTAATGTGCATACCTCTGCTCATCCTTGATGTATTCCTCCTGCAGTTGGATATACCTGTGTTCGACATCAGTACAGATTACTCTATCTAACAAACATGGTTAGACATACTCGAGATGTCTCTGTAGCCTTTTGAGGGTAGCATATTCATCGTTTCCATCAGCCCCTGTGCCATCGAGGGAATCCAAGTTGCCGAGGGCGTCAAGCGCACCTGGCTTGGTAAGAGGCGTGACGTTGTTCGCCGGGTTCTCCACAGCAACGTCTCCCATGGTGAATACTTTGGATAGCAAGCAAGATGAGAAAGGATATAATATGTATCAGCTGGAAATGGAAAGAAATGTGATGTGCTTTGAAGATGGTTGGTGAATGACGCGCTGTGTGAAGGGCTCGGAGTTGAGCCATCTGGAGCTTTCGATGCTATGGGCCCGGGAAGCTTATCCATCACGTGATGTCAACCAGTCCAGCAGTTCAGTAGATTCACTGCCAATGCGTTTAGGGCCACGAAAGACATATTAATGTAATTCCCACAGATTATTTCTACATTATATTATGCATATTGTTGACTCCATTATCCCAAGATTACTAGTAAAATATTGTGGCAATAGCCGATACGGTAACACTACCAAATTAACCGCCCGTCAACTTGCAATACAATAACCTCACCCAGAACTATGAGACCACTTACACAGAACCTTGGAAAGTTCTAATAGTTCCGACCATGATTTCCTCCTGTGTCTTGTCTCGAACAAATATACACTAATCATGTCCAGGTGGGTGTATCAATCCAAATATATGTTGTATGGTCAGACGCTAGCGGCTGCTGCGGAATATGAAACCCTGGAGCCAATGACGAGTTTCTCAGGCTCATTTGCCTGGGGTGTTTGTTTCGTATAGTGATGTGTAAGATGATGCACGAAGCATTCTACCAGTTTGGACACCTGATCAGGGTCAAGGAGAATATCATATTGGACCGCCGTGCGCAAAGGCTTTTGGGACAGTTAGCATTCTTGCCACTGGTGTTAGCTATGACCTCTAGCTCTCAAATCCCTACAGAAATGAAATGAAGAAAAGTTGATCCAATTATCTCTAGTGGTGGAGTAGGCCGGGACGACGGTAGGTGGGACAGGCACCAAAGCCGTCATGATTTCCTATGCGGATCGAGTCGGATCCTTGCACGGGGCTCACTAGGAAACCCAGATCAATCCACTCTCGTTGACCTCGAATTTTTGGTGACTTCGGAGGATTGGGCGCGCATCGATGTAATTATCAGACGCTAGCCCAAGCTTTATATAAGGGGAACCGCCCACTGGTCACCGTCACGGCTCTAGATCTTTTTTTTCCTCTTTCCATATTATTTCTTTTCCCCTTCCCCCCAGATTTCAGTCTGTAAAGACTCCATTTTTCATGACACTTTACTCCTTTTGAAATTTATCATTTGGTGGCTGCTAACCTCAGACCTAAATCGGGTTGGTATATATGATCTAACCTGACTTGGCCACCTGAGCAGACGGTTGGAATGGATCATCGTTTAGATGATTTACAAAATCTGAGGGGAAGATGGGGGTTTTATGGGAATTTTCTCTCAGAAAGGGATTTCCTTCATATATATTTCCCCTCTTCCCTAAAATTTTCCATTATTCTCCTGTGTGGTCAGTCTCTTCTATATGTAGGTTGAGGCTGGCAACACTGAACGGGAGAATGAAAACCAATGGGAAATCCAAACTAACATAAGGGAGAAAAAAAAGAAACTCCCAGAGAAAGAGAAAGAAAAACAAAAGACCCCCAAAACCAAACAAGAGACTCTAAAAGCAAGAGATAACTAACCTAGTAACACAAGTGGGAGGTTTACCCTGTGAGAAAAAGCTCTGACCTTAATTTTCCCTCATTCTCTTCTCTCCACTTCCCCTTTCATCCCTAACTGACCGGATCTTGTGAACTGATAGGTACGCCATCTCTATATGATTGCTTTGCTTTTTTTTTTTTTAGGGATACCTATTATTATTTACCTGTGATATTATTTGGTTGTGGCCACGCACCCCCTTCTTTTTTATGCCTTCTGTAGCTAACCCACCATTTGTCCCTGATTGCTGGAGGAGCTTCTATTATTATTTTATCTTGGCTCTTTGAAGATTAAGAGTGACACCTTCCCTGTTCATGATTTGCTAACTCTTTAGCCTACCCCAGCTCTTACCTTTCCCCTTCCCCCCCCCCACTCCAATCTCTTGACGCCTTTGCCTCCGTCCTCCTCCGTGGTTTGTTGCCTTAGGCTACTACACCACGTGACCGTCGCTGGCCAACCTCTGTCCCCCTTCATATCCCCCCCATCTGCCAATTCCGGGACCCGGCTTCAGTCACCGTTTAAAAAAAGCGGAATTTAAATCACTTCAGCCTTATCGGTATGTACCTCATTCCCTCCCCTCATTACCCCCCAAATTATCTCCAATAATTCCTATGCTGTTCCCACCTCTTTGAAGTGTCGCGACCGGGACTGCGCGACTCCAAACATCTCACCTCCCGACGCGTCCACATCTTTGGACTAAACCCTATACTTTCTTATATGACATCTTCGCCAATTTTCGCGATGCAGCCAATGTTCACCTGCTGACTCGTCATAGGTAGATGGGTTGGCAAAACCGCTCGACATGAATGCCTGGCTTGCCGACGCCTCGAATATTCCTGGCCAGGATAATGGCGCTTTTCATCCATCCACTATAGATCCCTCAACTGCTTTTCTTCATGGCTCCCCGACCCCCCAGGATCCATCCCAATTCCAGCGCATGTTCAATAATGGCGTGCCGCGGAACGCTTCCCCAGGCTTCCACAATCCAAACCAAGTGATTCCGTCCAAGCGAGCGCGGCCAGAAGATGGCATGCCCATGTCGCCAAGGGCAGCACCGGGTGGCGTGACGGGGTCGCGATCCCAAACTCCTCACCAACAATTTCCAGGTTATCAAGGACCGGCCAATGGCAATCCGCAATTTCCCCAACACCCAACACCATACCAGCATCTTCAGCAAGGAGCTTCTCCGAATGTAACGCAGTCGCCCATTATGCAGGATTTTGATCAACAAAGCGTTCGTATGGGAACGGCTTCTCCGAGCCCCTTCTCGCCCGCTGGCCCGCACCCTGGAACCCAAATGTCTCCGTCGCAGTCGGACCACGGCAGTCGCGTGAATACGCCCCAGAACGCCAACTTTATGCAGACACAGCAGTTTGGTGGAATGACATCGGGAGCCCCCCAACCCTCGATGCAGGCGCCACAGTTCAATGGCATGCAACAAGTACCCCAGGGCTACCATCAAGCTTTAGCGAACCAACAACAGCGGCTGCATGCTATGCAACAGCAGACAAGGATCAATTCAAATCCTGCAATGGCTGGACGGCAGGCTCAAGGAGGCATGAACCCGATGGCCAATCCTCAGCAGCAGCAGCAGCCCATGGGAGGAGTGAGACAAATGCCACCAAACATGCAGTCGAACATGCCGAAACCCAGTAACCCGGAAGGATTCTTGCGCTCATTGCAGAAATTCATGATGAGCCAGAACCTTCCTATGGATCCAAATCCTATTGTCAGTGGTCGGCCGGTCAACCTCGTTCAGCTCTACGCCACCGTGATGAAGATGGGAGGATCAAAAAAGGTCACAGCAACAAACATGTGGCCAGCGGTCGCACATCAGCTGCAATTCCCCCAGATGCAATACCCTATGGCTGCACAGGAGATTCAAGCGCACCACTCAAGGAACTTGGGTCCTTACGAACAAGCTTTCATCAGCTCACAACAAAAACAAATGGCGGACCAGATGCAGCAGCAGCAACAACATCAAAACCAGCAGCAGCAAGGCGGGATACCGCGGCAGCCTAGTCAATTCAACTCTCCTTCGGTGAAACCTAATGCAGGCTTTGAGCAAGCTCAAACAATGGCACAGTCCCCACAGAATAACACACCAGTTCATAATATTGCTCCAGGAAATCCAGTGAATGGATTTGCTACGCCGACACACGCGCGAAGCCAAAGCAGACCAGCCCAGGCCGGACATCGGCCAAGCATCTCGAGGGCATCGCAACCACCGGTCCCACCCACTGAAGCCGCTGCCGCACAGTTCGCAGCTCCTTCCCCGCAATCCACAAAGGGTGTTACGCCTATTCCGGGACAACAGCAGCCAGGACGACAAGAACAAAAGCCAGAACAGCTAGTAAAACGACCCATCGAGGAAACCTTCAAACCGATGGTTCTGACAGGAAGTCGTTTCCACGGGCCCATTGTTATCGATGATATGTACCAGGTTGGCGAGGATATCTCAAGGCTCAAACCAGATGTGCCAGGCTTTGCAGAACTAGGAGTTGTTGATATTCACGCGCTGACAATGGCGCTCAAGTCCGGGATCTATGCCGAGATCCGGGTTGCCTTGGATACCCTCACCACACTCTCTGGTGAACCATCTGTTCAGATATCATTGGAGAATTGTGATGACTTAGTAGAGAGCCTGGTCGACTGTGCTGAAGACCAGGTCGACCTTCTAGCACAGCACACCTTGGAAGAGTCGGATACTATGCTTCTCCGTTCCTACGATGAAGTCACACGAGACTGCCAGACTGAAAACACATCGCTTGCAGAGGTTCCTCAATTTGGAAGTATTGAGTACGAACTAGACCGGGCCGTCGATCGACTCATCTGTATCACCACTATTCTGCGCAATTTCTCGTTCAGCGAGACGAATTTCTTACCTCTTGGTATTCCTCCCGTCGCCCAGCTGTTTTCCGCCGTCTTCCGTTACATGGGAACTCGCAAGATGTTCCTGCGGACAAGCCACAACACGTTAGACTTTATGAAGGATGCAGTGATCTTGCTGAGTAACTTGGCGCATGTCGTTCAAATTCCCGGCAAGGATGAGGCACTAAATCTGTTGGTTTTCCTGTTGGCGTTCTCGCCTGAACCCGAACCTACATCAGCTTCCGGAAAAGTGATGTTCACTACATTCAACTCTTCGGTTGATCGATACACCCCAGCTGCTGTTGACGGGCTTGCCAAAATGTTGGCTAGAGATGACCCGAACCGAACTTACTTCAAGGCCATTTTCTCTGGCGATGGGTCTGCTCTTCCCCAGCCGGAGTTGTTAACTCGCGCGTTTGGGCTTGCTATCTCCTGTGTCCCCGACAAAAAGCCCATGGCCGTCGTGGATGCACGCAAAGTGTTTTTGATGCAAGGCCTTTTGTCGGCCGATGTCCTCACTACATTCGCCGATGGCTCTCTTGCCAAAGCGTGGCTTGAGTCAGTCGATGGATTCGCTGTCCATCTCCTGCGACTTTCTTGCGCACTGTGTACAGAACGCATCCCACAAATCAACATGCGGCAAAGAAGTCAGGCCGAAGCCGATGCGTATGCCTTTAGCTCGATTGTCAACCGAGGACTGGGTATTCTACGCCGACTCGCCGAAAAATCAAAGCAAGTCGACAACACCCCTCTCAACATCCCATCTGGAATCCTTCCTAGAAAAGAAAGCCTGCTAGGTGCACTGCTCCTCCCCAACATCGACGGTGGTGTTGTTCGCCAGCTCCTCACATATGCTCGGTTGGCGGAGTAAATGATGTCCACATGAACCTCCAGTGCGCCGGTGACATGTTGGTTTTCGTACCAGTCCCACCTGGGAGGAATCGGA